CCTCAAAACAAACTGCGAGTCAAAATTCAAGGATGGAAGTTATGAATCATTCCGTCAAGCTTGGAATTACCTTCTCACTCCAAACTCTGCCAAGGATTACCAGAAGAATTTTGCCAAACTGGCCAAGTTGTGCCCTCCCGAAGTTATGGATTACCTTACCAAGAATTGGATTCCCTTGCGTGATCAATTTGTTTGGTACTTAATCAACGACACACTACACTTTGGCAACTTGAACACCTCTCGGATTGAAAGTCTTCATGCTGCCGTCAAGAACTTCCTGAAGGGTGCAACCTCCTCAATGTCTACTACAATATCCAACATGACCGATGCAATTCAACATCAGCTTCACGAGATAATGATCAGCACAGCAACACAGAAGAATGTGCATCTGAACAACCTGCCTGGCATCCTGAGTCACCTGGGCGGTAAGATATCTCATCATGCTTTGAAAGAAGCTCAATGTCAGTACTTCACCAAGATCAAGAACACCGAATGCAACTGCTCTTATGAGATGTACATGGGAATTCCATGCGCACATAAGATGAAAGCACTTGAGGAATCTGGAACCGTTCTCAAGCCCAACAACTTCCATCCTCAGTGGCATCTCCACAACCTGCCGGTAAGAGGTGAATCAATTCTTGTTTATTGGATAGTTTTTTACTGACTGTCCTTGTTTTATATCCTTCTCAGTCCTTCACAACCGAAATTGAACTACCTGCTCTAAGAGAGCCATCGGACGAAGAACATGAGAAGATGTTTCTGGAGCAAATTTACAAACAATTCCAGAGCCTCCCCACCGACGAAAAGCCAGGATTCATCTCAATGTTTGAAAAGCTCCTTGATCAGACTCATGTACTCAAGCGACTTGAAGAACAAATTGCACAGCCTCACAAGGGCCGACCAAAAGGAGCTAAAAAAACCTCAAGCTTCCTGAAAAATCTACCAAGCGTGATCCTTTGGCTTGGGAGTACCAGATGCCACCAAAGAAGAGGGGCTGCCAACCCCAGAGCAAGGAAAATGAAACCAAAAAGAGGAAGACCAATACAAAGGTCAGAAACTCCATCTTCTCTCAACATTATTCTATTGTCTGAACTGACCAATCTGTGAATAAAGGCCAAAAAGGAAAAGAGGAAGAAACCCCAAGAGGTGACTACAGCAAGCGATACCGATAGCACAACCTCAGCCGAATCAACTGACCGCGGGTCTTCCGAGAATGGTGATCTAGAGAATTTGGACAGTATTGTCTCAACGGCTCCCAAGAGTCAACATAAGTTGACAGATCTCGAGGGTGTTGTAGAGCTGGAAGAGTTTGAATGGGTCAAATTCAATCAGGTGAATAATGAAAACTTCTTTCTCCCTTGATTTTCAATTGTCTCATGTACATGTCATTCTCATTCTCTAGGCACACCCAAAGTGGTGATCGGTTCCAGCGCCGGTCAGGCCTTTAATATCTGCTGTCCGCAATGTAGAAGGTGATGGACACTGCGGGTTCCGATCGGTAGCAATAAGCATGGGGCAGCCCGAAAACGATTGGGATGAAGTTAGAAAGAAGATGGACGAAGAAATGGAAGCCCAGCCAATCTACAAGAATGAAAAATACCTTCACACCATCGCAGATGGGATCCCATACGAGAGGTTAATCGAGAAGCTGAGTTTCTATCAATCACCGGCCCCCATGAGTTCGTGGATAACCTTCCCCCGTCATGGTGATCTTTTGGCGGATGCATTCCAACGACCAGTTATACATATTTCACATCAAATGAAGGTGACCTTCCTACCTCTCTCACACAGTCCGACCACCAATCCTCCCATTTTACTGCTGTTCTTAGAAGATTCTGCGCACTACAATGTGTTGATGTTCCATGGAAGCATCTACCCCGCACCCGATATCTCCACTTTTTGGTATAAATGGAGGAGCAATGAGGAAAAGGGGTGGGAGGATGTGATCCATATCAATCGGCAAGAGTGGATCAAAAAAGTTCCCAGGAGGACTAACCAGGTTCCCGTTCATGTTGATTAGCTTGAGCCAATCTTGTAATCCTTTTTTATTTTTTCTTTCTCATTTTATTTGTTTTAATTTAATTATTTGCCAACTTTGAGTACTTTTTGAAGAAAGAAAACATTTTCGGGGGGCCCTCCAAACCGCTTTATTTCATTATCTCCAAAAAAAATGGAAGAAAGGTGATCCTGCAGTCCCCGTGTGCGAATTAACTACTGATATATTTATGGTGTGAGCACGGGAGGGTCGCGACGTTGAGGATACGACGATCCCCGTGCGCGAAGAGTTTTCTCCCGTTGTGGTAGTCAAAAATGTGAAAATTCAAAGTTTTTTCTTTTCTTTTCTTATATATATATTTTCTTCAGATTATCACCTAATTTCTCTCAGAAATCACACCATACGGCTCAAGAACTGGACTCTACGGACAAATTCACCCTTGGTCACCTTGGAGGCGTCACTGGAACACACCTGGATCAACCCTTACCCAACAATGGATAACATATCACAAGGATTTCACTCATCACTACATATCACCAATCCCAA